ATAAAGTCATTAATAATGATTGTTGTCCTTTCTTCTTTACAAACCATGGTCCTAATGTGTCACACCTTTTCTTTGCAGATGACATTATCCTAGTATCGAAAGTTAATTATCATCAAGTGAACCTTATTAATTTTAGTACTACCCCTAGCCTAAGAATAAATAATGGAAAATTCTCTATCTTTTTCTCTAAAAATACCAATTCCTCAATTAGTAAAGTTGTTTATGATTGCTTAGACATTAAGCCCTGTAAGCAAATAGGGACTTACCTTGGCATTCCTATTGTCTCGAATAAACCTACCAAGAACCAATTTTCCTTCTTAATTGATACAGTTGGGAAAAAATTATCTCTTTGGAAAATGAAGTCGTTATCTATAGCGAGTAGAGTGACTCTTGCTCAATTGTGTATTATGAGCATTCTATCTTATAACATGCAAGCCTTCTGCATTCCTAGTTTTGTTTGTTAGGAGATTAATAATATTTGTAAAAAAATTATTTGAGGATCCTTTAATGGTAGGAAGTGTCATCTTATAGGATGAGATAAAATTTGTACTCCTAAAAAGGAAGGGAGTTTGGGATTTAGAGATTTGAACACTCTTAATAAAGCCTACATGATGAAACTCTACTGGAGGCTAATTAATTCTCCTTTTGACCTTTGGGCCCAAGTGCTTACTCAAAAGTATAAATTTAAGCCTATGAGTGATTCTCATATTAGGAATAATATCACTAGATCATCCCACCTTTGGAAGGGAATAATAGTTGTCTGGCCTCACTTCTCTAAAGGTATGGGTTGGGTTGTTAGAGATGGCATGTCAATTAAATTTGAACAGATAATTGGGTCCCTAATTTTTGTAATCTTTCTAGATTTGCAATTTCTTCAGTTCCAGCACCGGATTTGGATCTTCCAGTGACTTTCTTTACAGTTAATGGGGAATGGGACTGGTGCAAAATCTCTTTTGTGCTCCCTTACCACATCTGTCAGTCCATCAACTCAATTAGACCTCCATCTAGAGATGTTGTACAGGACTTTGTGTATTGACTTTTGACCAGCAATGGGTTTTTTTCCATTAAATCTACTTATTTTTTGTTGAACTAAATCAGGCAGAATGTTAACACTGATAAATCTTTGTTTAAATTTGTCTAGAGATGGGAGGGTCCTCCCAAAATTGCATATTTTGTTTGGAAAATTGTTCATGGAAAATTACTAACCAATGAAGAGAGATTCAAAAGGAAAATGTCAGTCTCTCCTTTATGTAGTAAGTGTGGGGTTAATTAGGAATCTGTAATTCATATTTTAAGGGATTGTTTTTATGCTAGAGATGTGTGGAGTCATTTTATTTTCGCTGAGCATTGGGTAAAATTTTTTAGTTCTAGGCTATCTAGCTGGTTAGAAAATAACTTCTCTTTTTCTAATCATAATAGATTTCAAAATTGGAAATCTATTTTTGGTATTGTGATTTGGTATTTATGGAAGGATAGAAATGATTTGATTTTTAATAATAAGTTTGCCAAACCTGATAATGTTGCGATAAAAGCCTTGTTTGTTGCAAATTATTATGCCTTGTGTTGCAGGAAAAAGTATTCTTAATATCCTAATCAGTTTAAGGTACCATTATGTTGTGAGATGGACTCCTCCTCTCGCTAATCAACTAAAATTAAATGTTGATGGAGGCAGTTCTAAAGTTGCGGGAATTGCTGCCTGTGGGGGTTGATCAGGGATGCTCAAGAAAGATGTATTATAGGTTTGTACAGTAGAATTGATTTTTGCTCCCCTGTGGCTGCTGAGCTTTGGAGTATATTTTTTGGCATCCAACTAGTGGTTCAACTTAATCCTCCCATTATTTAGATAGAATCAGATTTAAAGGCCACTATTGACCTTACCTTGAAGTTACAGTCAGATTCTGACCTCCTTTATCCGCTAATTTGTAGTATTAGAAATACTTTCAAAGCTATTCGATATGTGAAGTTGTCTTATATTTGTAGAGAAACAAATTATTGTGATGATTCTTTGACCAAACTAGGTTTAGAGTTGCTTTCTCCCTATTTTCAGTTTTTTGATCGCCCCTTATCCTTGCTTCTTTTTCTAAGTTTGGATTCTTGTGGGACTAATTTTCTTGAACCTGTAGTGTAGTTTTATGTGTGTTGGGCATGTTGGCCCTTCCTTTAGCCAAAAAAAAAGTAAAATATTATCCTTTTTTATTTACCATTAATTATTTTTTGTTACAACCATTTAACAAAAACAAATTCAAATTCATTTTCACATTAAAAAATTATAACTTAGTACAATAATTAACATAACCTAATAAAATTCATATCAAAATTTTGCGTAACATAATAAAATTCATTTTATAGTTTATTCTCAATTACCAAATTTATTTAACATTTTAATTATTTCAATTCAACATTAATAACTATTACTTAATTGTCAAACAAATATTTTGCAAACCTCTAACCTATTTTTAACTAATATTTATTTATTATATTAAAATTTTCAAAACATCCTAATTATATTAAACTAACAATTAAATTTTACATAAAATTTAATTTAATAAAAAAATGTTTACAATTAACTTTTGAACAAATTATAATAATTATTTTACCTTTCAAATTTTATGATTCTTATTATATAACTTTATGGTAATTTTTTATGATTAAATTTACAAAAATAACCTATTTACTCTTTTTCAATACAGTTATTATTTCTATTATATTCAATATTTATAATTTTACAAATATTCATTCTTAATTCACGCATATTATTTTATTTTTCTTAATCTACTAACAATTAACTTCTAATTCTAAACCATATATTTATATAATTTTATTATTATTGAACTATCTATTAATTAGCATTTTAAAACTTATATAATTATTTTATAATTACAATAAATATTATTTCAATCACTCTAATTTTAAACAATGCATAGTTTAAACATTCAAATTGTAAATAATAAAAACTCATAATATACTATTTCTAAACTAAACACTATCTATGCCAACATTATGTTTTATAAATACAATAAAACAATATATATATATATATATATATATATATATATTTATTTATTTTTAATAACCACTAATAGGATGAACCAGAACTACCTTCTCTCCTCTGTATTATTCCTTGCAAATTTTATTAAACATTACAAAAGTAAAACAATACAAAAAAATTAAATTGAAATTTAATAATAAAAAAAAAACATTTCTACCTTTCAGAGTGTCACCAACAGCAACTTCAGGCCCAAAATGTGTTATCAAACAAGCTACTGAGAAAGCGAAAAATATTTCTTTTTTCTAGCATCATTTAGGCAAAAAATGAAGACAAAGAGGAAGAATAGAGACAAATGAGAAGGAAAAAGTTGGGAATTGAGATCTCGTGTAACCGTTTAGGCACTTGTTTAGGCACTTATCACATGGCCCAATCGTGGCAAGTTTCGTGCTTCACAATGCTCATATAACTGTCTCTCACACATCTCATAAATTATTCTTTTTAAACTCATCCAACGGCCCATCTTTTTACGACGCTGTCAATCACATTCAAAGAGCTGTCGCCAGTCACTACCCGTTTCTACATACTGTAAATTACGGAAAAATGTGTTTTAACGGAGACTTTAAACTAACAAATCTATTTTGTTTTATAAAATTAGAATTCTTTGTTAAAATGGAATAATTAAAAATTTATTAAAAAAGTACAATTTTGAAAGTTGTTTAATGAACTTACAATCTTAGAGTTTATTTGTTTTCTATTTTTAAACAGTTTTTTTAAATGTAAAATAAAATAAAATTTATTTATTAATATAATCTTTTTCATTTTCTTCTTACAAATAGTTTTTTAAAATTATTTTAAAATGTAAATTTTAAAAATTAAAAAAATGAAAACAAACAAATCCTAAATTAGAATAAAATAAATATTCTCCTAATCAATTTTATCTTTCTTTCTTGCTCACTTACTCTCTTTCTCTCTCTAAATCTTTAGATTTGTTCCCTAAATCTTTTTTGTTAGATTTTTTTCTCTTTTTTAAATTTCTTTCATCCCCCTTGTTAAGATTCTCTCTCTTGTTCTTCCTTCATCTTTATCCAAGTATATTTTTGTTTAATTGGTGTAGTTTTTTGTGGTAGGTAAGTATTACAGAGAGAATTGTTAAATTAATATTCTTTCTTTGAAGAGATTTAAAGGTGATAATGCTTGCAAGTTTGTAGTTAAAGATAAAAATAAATGTAATTAATAATAATTAAAATTTGATTATTCTATCTAAATAAAAATGTAAAAAAATTAATTACTCAATACAAATAAAATATTTAAAATTATATAATTTTCAATGATGTAATTTAAATTTTTTAGAATGTTAATTTTTTCACAAAACACACCCTAATTAAAATTTCACTTGTACTTGATTTCAGTTTAATTAGCAAACATTTTTGGTATATTTTAATACTTTATTATTAGTAATAGTAATAAGTGCATGTTTAATTTGGCTGAGTTTAAAATCTGATGAAGTCATGTGAACGCAGAAATCAAAACTCACAGGGAAGAATAAATTTATGTGAGAGTCAATTTAACGAAATCTAAATAGGCTAGGAATATCATAGAACGTGATCTAACGGAACAAAAAAAGCAACTTGTCAAAATGGAACGTGAATCTACGCATGACGCGCATTCAAAGGCAGGTTCCTTGTGTTGCGTGTTTGCATTCGGGTGCGTAACATTGTAACAGAGCATATCTTTCCTAAACATGAAGATTGGTGTAACGATGACCCATGAAATTCATTTGGGTAAATAAAGTAGGTTGGTTATTGATTAAGAAAAAGTAATTGGGGATGCAGCATGATTACATGGCACGCTTAAGGCGACACGACAGAAAAGAGCGTATGGAAAGTCAGTCAAGAATAAAAAAAAAAGAGATTAGGTAAGGCCAAAGACTATGTCACCATCAAATTCAGTTTGACTGATGATGACAAAAGGGTCTTATGGTAAAGCCTCTCGGAAAGTCCGTTACTTCCCCACACTTTCCTCTCGTTGGATACTATACCTTTCTTGTTCCCCCCGAAACGGAATTCCTGCTTCATTAAGCCAACTCAGGGCCATTCTCGTAAATTCTCCAAACCCCCCCCCCCCCCCTCCTTATATAATTCAATCCCATTCCTTCACCGCCTGTTAGTACAGTGGGTGTTCGTTTCATTTTCGTTTTCTTTTCCGTTTTACTTTCAGCTTCACACGCTCCCGGTTTCTCCAATTCCAATTCGTATCAATCCCAATGGAAAGAGGCGCTTACAGAGGCAGAGGCAGAGGCAGTGGCCGCTACGGTCGCGGAAACGGTGGCAGAGGGAGAGGCAGTGCCAGTGCCAGTGCCAGTGGCAGAGGGTTCCCTTCTCCGTCACAACCACGTTATTCCCCAAGACCAAACCCCTCTTCCTCTGGTGAATCTTCAAAACCGAAACACCCTCAAACTCAAATTAATCAAGGTTGTTATTTTTATTCGAACGTCATTTTACTTATTTTCTTGCTATTACGTTGTTAAACATATGAATATGTAATTCATCAATATGAATATTAAGATGATAATGTGTTTTTTTTATTGTGCAGATTTTGGATCTCTGAAATTGTCAGAACAGAAAGTGGAAAATATAATCCCACCTGTGCACAGACCTGACAAGGGTGGAACGCTAGCAATTCGAACCTGCAATCTTCGCGTGAACCATTTTCGCGTTTTGTTCAATCCCCAAACCATAATCATGCACTACCACGTCGATGTCAAGCCCAAGGTACCCGCGAAGAACAACCGGCCTCAGAAGATTTCCAAGTTCGACTTGTCGTTGATTCGAGAAAAACTCTTCTCCGACCTCTCGCTGCCGTCCGAGAGGACGGCGTACGACGGCGAGAAGAGCATCTTCAGCGCGGTGCCGTTGCCGGAGGAAACATTCACCGTCGACGTGTCAAAGGGGGAGGATGAAAAAACGGTGGCGTATTTGGTGACTCTAACGCAGGTGAGCCAACTGGAGCTTCGCAAGTTAAGGGATTACCTAAGCGGAAGTGTGCTTTCCATTCCCAGGGATATTTTACAAGGCTTGGATTTGGTGGTGAAGGAAAATCCCGCGAAACGCACCGTTCCATTGGGAAGGTGCTTCTTCCCCTTTAACCCTCCGTTAAAAGAGAGAGACCTTCAGCCTGGGATAATTGCAATAGGAGGGTTTCAGCACAGTCTCAAACCCACTTCTCAGGGTCTCTCTTTGTGCCTTGATTATTCCGTTTTGTCGTTTAGGAAGAAAATGTCGGTCTTGGAATTCTTACAAGCTCACATTAAGGACTTCAAAGTGAGCGAGTTTTCCAGGTTCAGGAAACAAGTTGAGCAAGCACTTGTTGGGTTGAAAGTTAATGTCACCCACCGTAGGACCAAGCAGAAGTACACCATTGTGGCGTTGACGGCAAATATTACGAGGCATATCAATTTCACTGTTTCTGACCCCGAGGGTCGGAATCCTCCCAGGGATACTACTCTCCTTGATTACTTTTGGGAGAGGTATCATGTGGATGTTGAATACAAGGATATTCCTTCCTTGGATTTTGGAGGCAATAAGACAAATTATGTTCCTATGGAGTTGTGTGTCTTGGTTGAGGGCCAGAGATACCCTAAAGAGAATTTGGATAGAAATGCTGCCAGGGATCTGAAGAATATGTCGTTGGCGCATCCGAGGGAGAGGGAAGCTACGATACAGGCGATGGTGAGGTCGAATGATGGACCGTGCGGGTAAGGGGAATGTGATTTCGTGTAGCTTTCGGTTCCTCTTGGCTGCATATTTATAACTTGTTTTAAATAGACTTATTTTCACTGTTTTGAGGATAGACTGCTTTGATGTTTGGTTTCTTTCCTTGTCCATGTTTCCCTTCACTGTTTGATAAGATGCTTGCCATGATGCTCTTGCATTTTTATTTGCTTGTGGCTATAGATGAGGGCTCTGCATTTACACAAAATTCAAAGGACTCGTGTGTGGTGCACTTTTTCCTTGTCTGTTTACTAATTTATCAATTGTTGTGGTACAGTAATTTAATTTTTTACCTTTTCATGTATGTATGTTGAAAATATTAATGTTGAATGTGCATATTTTGTAGAACTTGCATTGCTGCTTTTCGTTGATTCTTAGTTTCTATTGATGGAATGATAAAGTTAGATAATTAGCTGCTTACGTGAAACTTGCCTTGCTGTTGATATGAATTAATATGTATTCTTAACCATTTTTTCTTACCTGCCCCATCATTATTTTCTTAAATTGTTGGAGACAAATGCTTCACAAAATCTTTCTGAACAGCGGCGGTATTATTCAAAGCTTTGGAATGAATGTCAACACTTCGATGACAAACGTGACAGGACGTGTACTTGAGCCCCCAAATTTGAAGTTAAGTGATCCAAATGGCAGGAGTATTAACATGCCACTGGATTCAAATAAATGTCAATGGAATCTACTAGGAAGATCGATGGTGGAAGGCAAGCCGGTTGAGTGTTGGGGGATTCTTGATTTTACCAGCCAGGAGTCTCAATGGCGCAGATTAAAAAGCAAACAATTCATTCAGAAGCTTATCGATAAATACAGAAAGTTGGGCATTGACATGAGGGAGCCAGTTTGGTATGAACCCTCTGACATGTGGAATCTTGAGGATTACAATTCTCTGTGCAAATTACTTGAAAAAATTGATGATAGGGTTCAAAAAAGGTGTCGACAACGGCTGCAATTTCTTCTGTGTGTGATGGCTGACAAACATCAAGGTTACAAGTGCCTCAAGTGGATTGCTGAGACCAAGGTTGGCATAGTGACACAATGTTGCCTGTCTGGTAATGCCAATGAAGCGAAAGACCAATATCTTACAAATCTTGCTCTCAAGATCAATGCCAAAATTGGAGGAAGTAATGTAGAGCTTATCAATAGGCTCCCACATTTTGAGGGTGATGGTCATGTTATGTTCATAGGAGCTGATGTCAATCATCCAGCATCTCGGGACACCAGTAGTCCATCAATTGCTGCAGTGGTTGCCACTGTTAACTGGCCTGCTGCAAATCGCTATGCTGCACGTGTTTGTGCTCAAGACCATCGTTTTGAGAAAATTTTGAATTTCGGAGATGTTTGCTTTGACCTTGTTTCGTATTATGAAAGGTTGAACAAAGTCAGGCCTGAAAAAATTGTTATCTTTCGTGATGGTGTGAGCGAGAGCCAATTTCAAATGGTTCTTGGAGAGGAGCTACAAGATTTAAAGGCAGTGTTTTGTCGCTCAAATTATTTCCCAACCATCACTCTTATTGTGGCACAAAAGCGACATCAAACACGATTTTTTCCTACGAGTGCGAGAGACGGGATTCCTAGTGGCAATGTGTTCCCTGGAACAGTTGTGGACACAAAAGTGGTACACCCTTTTGAATTTGACTTTTATCTTTGCAGTCACTACGGAAGCCTAGGTACAAGCAAGCCCACCCATTATCACGTCCTGTGGGATGATCACAAGTTTACTTCTGATGCTTTGCAGAAGCTCATATATGATATGTGCTTTACCTTTGCAAGGTGCACCAAACCTGTATCTTTAGTTCCCCCAGTATACTATGCTGATCTTACTGCTTATAGAGGAAGGTTATACTATGAAGCGATGCTTCGTATGCAGTCTCCGGCTTCAGCTGCATCTTCTTCATCGCATAATGCTTCTTCCTCGGTTTCTTCATCAGGCTCAAGTTTAAATGATCCAGGGTGTTACAAGTTGCATGCTGATGTGGAAAACATAATGTTCTTCATCTGAAGTTGCTTCATCTGCGCTTGCTTTGTGGCAGAAGAACTTTGTTCTCTTTTGCTTCTTGGGTAAAACTTCTCTGCTTCCTTTTGCATTGGGACAAACTACTTTTCCTGCTTGAAATAGTTTAGAAGTTTGTGCGTGAATCTAATGAGTCAAAGTCCTTGAAACTGTATTGTCGTTCGTTATAGTCCGTAATGGAGTCTCTTATTCATGTTATTTTAGTTGCCTCTGGGTTTGCGGTTGCCTCTATATACATCGTAGCAGGTCTCATGTGTCATTGTGAATGGGCTTAAATAAAGGTGTTGACTACTGTTTTAATAATACGATATCTGTTAGCTGGTATGTTAATGGGTCAGTCTCAAAATTTTTCCTGCTTTTATGGGGTAAAATTCCTGCTTATTTTTTGGGCTATTAATTTTTCACATTCACTTATAATGATATCAAATGAATGAAAAGGGGAGAGAGATAAAAGAAAAAGAAAAGACCATGTAATAGATGTGATAAAAATAGAGAGAGAAAAAAATAAAAAGACGATTTAAAAAGGAATGTAAGAAAAATTGAGCAAAAAATTATTAAATTTCTTATTATTTTCGCTGTTATATTTGCTTGTCTCCTAAAGGGTCTGCTTGGAAGTCGGGAAACGAAATTTTTTTCTCTGTTTTCGAGTATTTTCTTCTATCAATTTCGATGCTACAATTGTGGTTTGTTTGTAGTTGATAACAATCAACTTTGTTTAAATCTTTATTTTATTTTATTATTACTGAAAAAATAATTTATTTTAATTCTTAAAAAAGTAAGGAAAAAAATACACAAAATGCTCAAAATAAAATATTTTATTTTATTTTTCCAAAATAAAGAGACATATTAAGTTAAAAAGAGACATCAATTTACTATTAATTTGAATTAATGTATTTTACAACCACAGCTAACTTTAAAATAGACTATGTATATTTTTTAATTTTTATTTTAAATATTTAATAATCTAATTAAATATCAATTACTTTTTAAACTTTATAATAATTTTAAAAAAAACAATTGAATCGTGTTTAATTTTTCCTTTTATTTTAATTTTTGCTGTATCTTTTAGTTTCATTTTCGTGTAAATAGTTTCTAATTAAGTATTCTTAATAAATTCCAAGTAATCTTATTTTAGAACCACTTTTTCTCTTCATTTGATATGACTGTTTTAAATAAATGCTGAACTAGGGATAATTAATTAGATATAAATCAATTTTAGATTATCTTTTAATTTATTCAACAAAATTATCAAATTTCATCAATCTATCTATCTATATATGATTTCTTATCCTTAAATGTCCATACTTAATATGATTTCATCTTTTAGAATAATGCTAATAACAATATATGTTTATTAAAATCTTTCCAAAACTAAAATTTCATAACATTGTTCTATTGTTTTCAAATTTTTTTTTTTTCAAAAATAAGGTTTCATTTCATTTCGTTCTTGTTTGTTCAACAAAACATATAATTCAAATTTCTTTATTAAAAGGGTAAAATATATAATTTTAAACTTATTAAATTTACACAATTAACTTAATAGTTTTTACTCTCTCTTTATTTATTTTTATACATTACCTATTAAATTTATTATATTTTTATTTTTCTACTTGTTCTTTCTCCCTTAAAATATATATGCTTCAAAAAATATGAACAAAATACATTTCTAAAATTTAGTTAGAATTAAATACTTTTAAACGTTTAATAAATTTAAGATAATAAAATTGAGTTGTAATAAGAAAAGAAAAATTACCTTCATAATTATTACAATAATATTTTTAAAATATATTTGATTTAAAAGAAAAATACTTTAAATAACCTATTTTAAATATTTAATATTTAAAAATATTTAACCTGTAAAATTTATTAAAGATTAAATTATTAATATTATGACTTTTAAAATATATTATAACATATGTCATTTTATTAATTTATTTATGAGTTATATAATAGACTGACTCACATTAGTTATCACGGTTAGTTATACATTATTTAATAGTGATTATAAAGTAAAATTAATTGTTTTTAAAGTATATAAACTAAAAATAATAATTTTATAATGATCAAAATTAAATTCTCACATATTTTTAGGAACAAAAATATATTTAACCTAATATTTAATATATTACTATGCGATTATTTATGCCTTCTGTCATATTTTTTGAAAAAAAATCAATAGATAGATTAAGAAATGGGGAGAAAATTTTATTGTCTTAAAATGTTGACAGATTAATCATAGGTAATAGATTGCTGCTAAGTGGGTGTGTCCTCATGCAGAAACCTCCTCAATTACAGAACCACTAAAGAGGCAAAAAGCATATACAACCTGTTATAACAGCTATAAATTCCTCTTACGCGTGATCCATTAGGTGATGCATCACGATTCAAACCTATGCTTTAACTTACGAGTAACGATACTCACACATTTTATTTTTTTTAATTTTAGAGAAACTTTTTCTCAAGCTAACATGATTTAATAAATAAGTGGTGCATGAGTTAATATATTTAAACTGTTAGATGTATATTTTTAAAAAATTAAATAATACAGATCTTTTATTTGTAATTTAATAATATCAATTTTTATATATCTATAATTTAATCATCTACAAAAATATGTAAAATTACTCCTTGAATTTTTAAAATTTTTTATTTTATATCTTTATACGATTATTTTGATAATATTTTTTTAATCTTTTTCAAACAATCTTGTACGTATTTTGTATTTGTGTTGTGATTTTAAAAATGTATTTTTAATTTATAATAAAAAATAATTTTTAAATTAATAAAATATTAAATATTATTTTAAATTTTTAAGGTTCTCTTTAAACTTATACTACAATTTTTATAATTAAAATTTTCATATTTATTCTCACTGTCTCAATTTATCGTAAAGTTTTATATTGATAGAATATTTAATATTATTGTAGATTTTTCTCATTCTCTCTCTACAAACTGGTTGTATATATTTTGTATAATTTCAATAATGCTTTATATTTTTTTCAATATATGATAAATTTTTATAAAAATTTAAATGGTAAAGTAAATTTCTTCCAAAAAAAACTTTCTAATAAGAAAGAACAATGAAATGATATTAGGTTCATAAAGTAAAATTTCATTAATTCATAAGTATTTTAAAAAAATAAAGATTCTAAAATTTTCATCTGCAAAAAAAAAAATAGTAGTTTTGCAACTGTTCCAAAAGAATGCTATAGAACTGAAAATATTCATTACATAACTTAAAATAACTAAATCCTATAGCAGTTGTCATTCATCCATGCACTATGAGCCTAGTACTACTCGTCCTAGTTTCCTGAAAATGTTGTGTAAGGGTGAGTCTCTACCCTACCACTCATACATAACACATATTCATTATAAAACACATCTTATCACGATTAAAGAAAATATCATAATATTACATATTATAGTGTCATATAAAGTAAGTTCTCATCTCAACACATAAACACATATTATATTCCACAGATTCACAATTTGTTTTTCTTTTACCCGCGCTTACCGCGCCCTGTGGCCACAGTTATCGAATGCTTCTATCCCAAGGTCTTATACTGTAACATCCTGCACTTTGAATTAAATAAAATGAGATTTATTAAAGTATAATTGGAATAGATTTGAATAGAATTTATATTTAAAAAAATGTTAACGTAACATACGCATACATCTTATGTACAGTAGCATGCACAATGTTTTCGGTATGAATAGTGACCGCGAACAGTGTTTCTGGCGGTGAACAGTAAGTTTCAAAAAAAAATTATAAAAAGAGAGTTTCACACGAAATTTTCATTTCTTCACTCTTATCCAAGGTTCTCAAAGGTTCCAAGACTATATCTTACCATTTTCTCTCATACTAAACCCTCCTAAACTTATATTTCTCTTCAGATCTGTGATTTTACGTTCGTTCTAAAGGATTTTAAGTAAGTTTCTCTAAGTTTAAACTTAGATTTACCGTTCGTTTCTCATCCATTCAAGTAAGCAGATGTGGAGAAGATTTTCCATGCCATGAGATGTAGAGAGGAGCATAAGGTAACTTATGCTATTTATATGTTGAATGGAGAAGTTGAGGACTGGTGGATATTTGCTAGTCAAACTTTATTGCAAGAAGATGATTATATTCCTTGGGAGACATTCAAGGCAAGCTTTCTGAAAAATTATTTTCCTAAAGATTTAAAGAAACAAAAGGTTAGAGAGTTCCTTGAATTGAAATAAGAAAACATGTTTGTAGGTGAATATGCTGCTAAATTCACAATGTTTTTGATATGAATAGTGACTGTGAACAGTGTTTCTGGCGGTGAACAGTAAATTTCAAAAAAAAAATTATAAAAAGAGAGTTTTACACGAAATTTTCATTTTTTCACTCTTATCCAATGTTCTCAAAGGTTTCAAGACTATATTTTACCATTTTCTCTCATACTAAACCCTCCTAAACTTATATTTCTCTTCAGATCTGTGATTTTACATTTGTTCTAAAGGATTTTAAGTAATTTTCTCTAAGTTTAAACTTAGATTTACCGTTCGTTTCTCATCCATTCAAGTAAGCAGATGTGGAGAAGATTTTCCATGTCATGAGATGTAGAGAGGAGCATAAGGTAACTTATGCTATTTATATGCTGAATGGAGAAGTTGAGGACTGGTAGATATTTGATAGTCAAACTTTATTGCAAGAAGATGATTATATTCCTTGGGAGACATTCAAGGCAAGCTTTCTGAAAAATTATTTTCCTAAAGATTTAAAGAAACAAAAGGTTAGAGAGTTCCTTGAATTGAAATAAGAAAACATGTTTGTATGTGAATATGCTGCTAAATTCACAATGTTTTTGATATGAATAGTGACTGTGAACAGTGTTTCTGGCGGTGAACAGTAAATTTCAAAAAAAAAATTATAAAAAGAGAGTTTTACACGAAATTTTCATTTTTTCACTCTTATCCAAGGTTCTCAAAGGTTTCAAGACTATATTTTACCATTTTCTCTCATACTAAACCCTCCTAAACTTATATTTCTCTTCAGATCTGTGATTTTACATTTGTTCTAAAGGATTTTAAGTAATTTTCTCTAAGTTTAAACTTAGATTTACCGTTCGTTTCTCATCCATTCAAGTAAGCAGATGTGGAGAAGATTTTCCATGTCATGAGATGTAGAGAGGAGCATAAGGTAACTTATGCTATTTATATGCTGAATGGAGAAGTTGAGGACTGGTAGATATTTGATAGTCAAACTTTATTGCAAGAAGATGATTATATTCCTTGGGAGACATTCAAGGCAAGCTTTCTGAAAAATTATTTTCCTAAAGATTTAAAGAAACAAAAGGTTAGAGAGTTCCTTGAATTGAAATAAGAAAACATGTTTGTATGTGAATATGCTGCTAAATTCACAATGTTTTTGATATGAATAGTGACTGTGAACAGTGTTTCTGGCGGTGAACAGTAAATTTCAAAAAAAAAATTATAAAAAGAGAGTTTTACACGAAATTTTCATTTTTTCACTCTTATCCAAGGTTCTCAAAGGTTTCAAGACTATATTTTACCATTTTCTCTCATACTAAACCCTCCTAAACTTATATTTCTCTTCAGATCTGTGATTTTACATTTGTTCTAAAGGATTTTAAGTAATTTTCTCTAAGTTTAAACTTAGATTTACCGTTCGTTTCTCATCCATTCAAGTAAGCAGATGTGAAGAAGATTTTTCATGCCATAAGATGTAGAGAGGAGCATAAGGTAACTTATGCTATTTATATGCTGAATGGAGAAGTTGAGGACTGGTAGATATTTGATAGTCAAACTTTATTGCAAGAAGATGATTATATTCCTTGGGAGACATTCAAGGCAAGCTTCCTGAAAAATTATTTCCCTAGAGATTTAAAGAAACAAAACGCTAGAGAGTTCCTTGAGTTGAAACAAGAAAACATGTTTGTATGTGAATATGCTGCTAAATTCATAAATTGATGAAATATTGGCCCCACTATCAACATGATGATAGAGAGGAAGATCTATGTGCTCAATTTGAGCATGAGCTGAGGCCAGATATTTGAGTTGCCGTTAGTGTATTACAGCTGATAGATTTACCTACTCTAATGAGTAAATGCAAAATATTTGAAGCCAATACTAAGGGTAAGACGGTGGATACCAGAATTGGTGGTCCTGTAAGGTAAGACCGAAGGCCTTCAAGATTTTCTAGAGGACCTTACTCTAGTCTAAATCAATTTCAAGTGAAGCGGACTATATCTCAAGATAGTAGTGGTGGTTCTGGTTCTTTCAGAAGGTCACTAAAATGTTTCAAGTGTGGTGGACCTCATATTAAAAGAAATTGTCCTCAACTTCTACTAAATATGTGACATTTGTGGGAAAATGGGACACTCTGCAAGTGTCTGCTCCACAAAAAAGCGAAAGCATGAGTATAGTACAAAGACCTGAATCTAGAGTAAGCACTAGAACAAAGCCAAATATGAAAGGCAAAATTTTTGCTATGAGTGGAGCTTAGGCTTCAAAATCAAAGGAGCTTATTAGAGGTAAATGTATCATAAAAGACTGACTTTTAGATGTGTTGTTTGATTTTAGTGCTACTCATTCCTTTATTTCTGTAGATTGTATGAGATGTCTAGAATTACCTTGATTTGACTTATCTTATGATGTTATTGTATCTACTCCTACGGGTAAGTCCGTAGCAACTTCTTCTGTGTGTTTAGGTTGTTCACGCCGAAAACACTGTTCACAGTTACTATTCACACCGAAAATACTGTGCACGTGTACTGTACGTGTATATGACGTCACTGGTGATGTCATCATTTTTTAATTTTTTATTTATTATTTTTTAAAATATAAATTTCATCTAAATCTATTCCAATTATACTTTAATAAATTTCATTTTATTTAAATTAAAGTACATGAGGTTACAATTTCTACTATTTTTTCTTAAATCATATTTTTTCACTTAAATAAAAGTTATTAAAAAAATTAGTTCATTAGAAGAATATTACTTAAACGATCATTAATTTATTTAAGCTACACAAAATATTTTAATATTCACTTAAATGAATATAGTCTACTTAAACAAATGTTGAATTAAGAAAGTCTTTATATTATTTCATATTTGACACTAAAAATAAAAATGAATAAAATATTACAAAAATATAAGAATCAATGACATATTTAAGTGATAAAACATAATTTGGACAATCTAAAACTTATTTAGAGGTTTGGAATAAGATATTCTTTTAGATAATAATAATATTGTAAATGCATAACACTGTGTGATTGATTAAAATATCATTTACAGTATTTATTCGAAATCAAAGTTTAATTTATGGATTAAGAATGGTTTACATTATTCATTTTTCTTTGGTAACACGCTTTGAGGTGTGTGTTTGTTAGAAGCTTCTATTGAGTGGCTGCGAAAAGCATGAGTTTATTTTCATATTCTGCACAGAAGAAAAAGAAATCCACAATCGCTGCTCCACTATTTCAATGTGGTGTTTGTAGAGAGATGTCAATCATTATAGAAATTAATGTAATTAAGAAATAAGAATTTATTTGAATCATAATTGGAATCTATAGAAGTAAATTAAAATATTTAAAAATTAAGAGACAAATGTTAAAACAATAGTTGAAGGACTACAAATATTTTTTTTACTAATATATTTAGTCAACATCATTTTGAACAAATTTATTGAACAAATGCTTTCTCAACACTGTTTTAATTAAATTTTTAAAAATTGTTGAGAAGCATAGAGATCAATTTTATAATAGTATATATATTTGATAGCTTTTGCAATTTCTCATAATTAAGAATTTTTTTTAAATAAACTCACTTTTCTTCTAAATTATTAATTTTAAATATTATTTTAAGTATAGAATTGACTCTTATAATTGTTTGAAGAATTGAAAGTTTACAATTTTCTATCATTATCATCGTCTCGTCAAAATGTTGATCTTTATAATATTATCACCTAAAATTCTGAAGAACTTTTTTACCATAAAGTGTATCCTGATTAATCATAATCAGAAAAAATTAATCAATTCCAAACATACTTTTAATTATTTGTTTAAAGAATATTTTTATTATCTTTAATTTGTTTATCAATTTCTCAATATATTAAAACTAAAACTTTCAAATACTTATTTAATTTAATTTATGTTAGTTGTAAAATAATATTTTATTAGTTAAATTAATGTTCTATTTGGTACACAAACATTTTCATAATATATTTACACTATTTATACTCGTGTTAACTTAAGGCATTAGAATTTCTCCGCAGATATTTACTCCCTTAGCTTTGATGTTAAAACGCATTATCACTGCATATAAACGTGTAGACCTCGTTACTTTGGGATAGACTAGAAAACGCATTAATCAAGATCTTCAACTTTCAACACAAGAAAAATTGTAGCATTACTCTCAAAATAAGTTCACAGGAAGACTAAATGAGAAGATGCTTGAAACCATTCAACAATTGAGCAAGTTTCAAAAATTAAAAAGATGTACATCAAAAATTTGGATTCAGAAACAATTTAAAAGGATTAAGATTCAGAAAAGTGTCTTTCGTATTTTGTGACCATATTTTATGAGCTTCCATGCTAAATTAAATTAATATTTTTTAATTATTTATTTATTTAAAGAATATTTTTTTGTTTTAATTTGTTCATCAAGGTTCAATTTTTAACCAACATTTAACATGATACGTGTTTAAATATTTTTTATACAGTCGTCCAATCATTAATAAGAATAATTGATTTATATAATAATTAATATAAAAGTTATATTCATAATGTATTTTAATTCATTGACAATATAAAAATATTTAAATTAATAATACACAAAATTAAATTTATAAGATTTTTTTTGTAGAGGAAGGTAAATAAATAAATAAAAAATTACAAGGACTTTCCTAGCATAGCTTAAAAAAGTATTCTCAAGTTTGTAAAAAAATGAGATTTAATTTTTAAAATTACAATAAAAAAATTTAGCTTAGCTAAAAAATTTATTTTCACACAAAATATGACTTATGATAATTTATCAATTTTTTTTCAATTATTTTTTTATATCTTAAACTTTTTTATATCTCAAACAAGATTAAAATACTTGTAAAAAAATAAAATAATATATATTACAAGATTTATGCTTTAACATAATAAAGTTAATAAACCTTGTAATATAAAAGATATATAATATTTAAATTTTAAGTTATTTTTAATATGTAAAGTATGACTATAAGTTCAATATAAATATTTTAAAAAATGTCAATGATTCTTGAAACTTCTTTAAGTTAATTTTTATTTTTATTTTTAATAAAAGTATTGAAGTATTAAAGATGAATTTAAAATTCGAATAAGCTTCTCAGCCTACTTAATGCTTTAAGCAAAATTAAAATTGTTACACTTGTTCACATGAATAAAGTTAATTAGAAAGATTTATAACATTAAATATAATTATATAAATTTAAATTTTTTTAGTAAAGATATTTATAAATTACTAATATAAAAAATTTATATCAATTAATCAATTTATTGAAATTAAAGTTTCAAATACTTATATTTTAATTTAATTTTAGTTTAAATCATAGGCTTAACAAAACTTTTTTATATATATTTAACATATATACATGTTCAAAACTAAAAATTTATATTTTAATTCAATTTGTGTTGCGTTCAAAATAGTCTTTTACTGATTAAAGGGATATTTTTTTCTAAGTACACAAGTATTTTATATCGAAGCATTATTTTATTTGTACTCAAAGTGACTTAATCATTAGATTATTCATTTTACCTTGATGTGCAAAAGCATAAGCATAGTTGTCACCTTAATTCCCGTGCATAGATTTCTTAAACGATTTTATATTTGTTTATATCCAAATTACATATATTATAGAAAATGTTCACATGCGTTCCTTCCTTAGTTTATAGCAGCCATCGACAATATATTTATATCAACATAATCCAAACGAAAATCAGTGGCCACATTTAATTTTTTGTTTAGTGGGCAGATAAGATAGCAATTTAAAATCACTAAAATTATTATTTATTTATTTATTTTTATGGAGGGTAAGGCAGCAGCAAAATGTTCAACATCGTACTGAACAAGGGTCTCAGTGTAGCCTAGCCAGTTGGCTCTGTACCAAATCTCACCTGTCCTCTGTTCTGTACAACCTCACCTGCATCTCTCTCTCTCTCTCTCTCTCTCTCTCACACACACACACACACACACACACACACACACACACACACACACAGTTCTGACTCGTTTTCTTTTGTTGTCCTTCCCTTTTGGTCCCTCTTCTCTCTTCCCTTTTGTCTTCTTCCTTCTTCTCTCTACTTTCTCAAATATTCTCTTTTGGGTACCTCTCTTTGCTTTTCCAGCTTAGGCAACCACCTACCTTCTTTTTCGTTTAAAGGGGGATCCATTCTTCCGTGTTTTTCTCCTTAGATTCTTTCTTTCCTCATCACACCATCTCAATTCAATTTTACTTTTGTTGTTTTTTGACAGCCACCTCACTGATTCACACACACTCCTTATTCTTTGTTCCATGTTTTCATCTCTTTTTCAATAGAGATGGGCCATGTTGATGATCATGATCATGATGATGGTGTTTGTCACTACCCAGATTGACACGGCTTGGATAGGTCTTATTTCTTTATAATTATATATATTAATTAAATTTGAATCAAAATTTAGCTTTTCACTTTGCAACTCAATGAACCGATTCTAACCCTTTTATTTTTTAACTTACTTTTATGGAATTTGGATCGTGTAGAAGTTTAGTGGGGAACTCTATTGAAATTTGGTTCAACATTTCACTCCTTCTCCAACACCCTCAGATTGTGCTGGCGTTCAAAGTTGGATCTTGGTTTTACCACACATGTGCACGAGTTCTCTTCATTGGTGTTGATCCTCTCTTGTTGTGAGTAAGTGAATTATCAAATTTAAACAAAATTGATGTTTTGAATGGTGAGAATGTGATTCTGACATGGAAGTGTTGTTTAATTGTAAGTTGTCAAGGTTGATGGGTAGTGGTGGCGCTCTCAGATCCTTGCCTTGCAAATGCGTGTGTCTGCTTGCGGCTGTTTTGATCCTTAGAGCTTTGTTGCTTCTTCCATACCCTGGCTTTGGTGGGCTTGAATGGAGCAACCTTGTGTGTATCATGAACCATTCTCCATCTTTTGGTGCTTTTGGGATTCGGCAAGACAAGTTTTTGGAGGTTCCTCAGATTGTGTGGGGATTAAACAACCAAAAGATTGCATTTGCAAGGGCTTGTCTTACTGCTAGAATGTTGAACCGAACTCTATTGATGCCTAGTCTCAGTGCCTCCTTGTTTTACAAAGAAATTGACCTCTTGCAACCGATTTCCTTCGACAAGGTGTTCCAATTTGACAAGTTTAATGCACTCTGCAGTGGTTTTGTTCAATTGGGTCGCTATTCTCATCTCTTGAACCAAACACAAGTGCTTGAAATCCAGAAAGGGAGTGGTAGGAAGTGGACAGTGGAGAGGGATTTGGATCAATTGAGACAGCATAGCAAAGACCCTTTTGATGACCATGAGGTGATTCGGATCACAGGGAAAAACCCCTTCTTGTGGCATGATCATTGGCCTGTGAAGGACTACGCAAAGGTATTTGAGTGCTTAGTTTTGGTAGATGAGATTTCTCAAGAAGCTGATAGAGTTGTGTCTAGGATTAGAGAATCAGTGGAATTGGAGAATGATGGGTCTTCATTTCAGCCTCTTCCATATGTTGCTGTCCACATGAGGGTGGAAATTGATTGGATGATTCATTGCAAAAAGCTGGAGCAGAGATTAAACACAAATCAAATATGTAGTAGCAAGAAAGAGATAATGGAAAGAGTAGGGAACATTATGGATTTGAAGAGTCCAGTGGTTCTTTATCTTGCAGTAGCTGATAAACTCCTTCAAAATTCTTCCATACTAGAAGGTTGGAGAGAAGGTTTTCTACCTTTAGAGAAGAAGAAACTTGGTGTTGATGGAATTTATAGCAAGTATCCATATTTAATTCAGTCTGCAATTGACTATGAAGTGTGCTTAAGAGCTGATATATTTGTAGGGAATAGTTTCTCTACATTTTCAAGTCTTATAGTGCTTGAAAGAACACAAAAGATTATCAGAATGGGTGTCAAAAGCATGTGTGGAATGGATGTAAGATGGCCTTCTTATGCTTATAATATACCAGGAGAGTCAAATGGCCCTATGCGATGGGTTACAAATATGTCTGATTCAACCCTTCAAGCAATCAGCTATGGCACCAATCACATCTCTTGTTGACAGTGCCGTTTGCAATTCCTACAGCAATTCTATGATCTCCTTTCACTTCATGATTTTGATTAGCACACTTAATTCTTCTTATATAATTTTTTATGTAGAGAATTCAACAATGGAATATATATGTTTTCAGTAAAATGAGGTACAGTTTCTCGTTATTTAACTCTTAATTTATTATTCTAAAACATAGCCTATGACCCTTTATAATCTTGCTTAGAAAGAGATTTTTTATTTTTTATTTTTTATTTTGTTTATATTGTTATAATTTTGGGGTTTTTTCTTTTTCCCGTTTTTAATTTTATTAATGTGGCGAAGGGGCGGCAGTTCACATGTGAGAATTGGAAAGATATGGCCAAGTCTGCAATAATCTGCTAACTGAGTAACTCTGTCTATTTGTTGTACGTATTAGAAAACACAAAGTGTGACATTCTTCTATTTATCATACACAAAAAATTTCCATTTTAAGAAACTATTTTCTGGAGAAGTGGGGTCTTTTGGATTTGCATACAATTTTACTCAGACATATTTCACTTTCAAGTAAGTGCAATCGTGTGTCTCATGAATATTTATTTTTTATTTCAGGTCCAAGGAGTCACCGCAGAAATATTTATGAAGCATTTAAGTCAGTCACATTTTTTAATAAGAAAAAATATATTTTTTTTTGCAAAGATAAGAATTTGTCATTGTTTCTTTCTCATACTTCATGTGAATTGGTGATGGGATTATGGGCCTGATGTAAAGATGGTCATTTGAAGAAAGATGAACTAATTTGATTAAAGTTGTGTTTCTTTCAAGCCTAAAGAGAAGCAGCATTTCTTGTTTGGTTTGTTTTGGTTTCTTTGTTCGTTCCTTCTCTTTGTCTGTTCCTTAATTTTCAGTTGATGAGGTGTTGTGTCCAAAATAGAGTCACAACACTTGCCTTTAATGTGTTGGTCATGGCCCACGAGACAGATGATAGTACAATGATTTGTCTCATCACCCACCCTCACATGCCACTGCTGGGGAAGAGTAAATGTACATCCAATATTGAGCCCTTTAATTCACTTTCTATTTTCTATCACATTATTAACCATTTTTTTTTCTTTTTCAATTCTTCCTACTCTCACTTCTTTTACCCATTCTACACCTAAGAAAGGGTGTTAACATAAAATTATCCATTTTTCTTATTCATTGGAGTCTGTGTTTTCCTTTGTTTCTTATTCTCAGATGAGGAAGTAACTGAGGATGGGATTTGTGTCTACTGAAACGTAGCTGTGAATTATTGGAGCCGCAAGGGTTAACGTTGAATGCATGCCATGAACAAAATTAAGGGAATGAGGGCATTATTGTGAGGATACATACTAGTACCACGTTTGATATAATCTTTTTAACATTTTTTATTATTGACGAAGTTTATGTCAAGTAGATTTCATGTTTTATTTAATGATCAATCTCATTAATACAAGATGTGCAAATATATTTGTTGGGGGGTTAAAGGCTTTTAACATGGATCCTCCATCCCATGCCTATAATATCATGTTGCAAGTGATTTGTTTTAGACCTTATGTTTTTAATTTTTACTTTTTAGCAAAATTTTAAAATTAGAAGTCATTAAATCAATACAAATACATTTATATAAATGAAAAAATATTGTGTGTGAAATCTTACTAAATAACATAACATGTCTACAGCATGATTATTAAAAAGTTAAATAAAAATTAAATTAATATAAAAATTATACTATACATTTTACAATAATAAACATTTAAATAATAACAAAATAATGAAGTTTATACCTAAGTCTTCATTTATTTTTAAAATGTTTTAAATAAAATATTAAAATATTAAATCACATTTGAATAAGAATAATATAACTTATAGTATTAAAATAAATTTACGTTTAAGTGAATTTAATCCAAACACGTTATTAGTCCTTGTCTCAACAAAAGAGTATTAATACACTACACATTACTCCAAATGTAATCTTGCAAATGTTACCAAGTCATAAATGCTTAATAACTTTATGTTCAAGAAAATTTGAGCCATTTTCTTCACAATTTATTAATCAATTGAAGAACCCTCCCCCCAAAAAAAAAAACATTTTCCTATTTTATTGTAAATCTATTTTATAAATTTTGCAAAACTTTAAAAAAGGGTTTTTATTTTATTTTATTTTCCTATTTCGAACAAACCTACAGAAAAGGTTGCAGCAAGCAGTAGCCGTGTTGTTAGTGAAAATTGAGTGAGGTGGCATTATATCAACACATTGTAGGGCACGGCCCACGAGATATTGACTGTGTGATCTGTTTGTTGTGTTTGTGCCAAAAAGTGATCCCTTTCTTTTGGGTAAAGTCACTGACAATTAGGAACTTCTCGTGGGCAAAAGGAAAAAAGAGTTTAAATTGTAAGATGTGAGTATGCATTAGTCCATTGTTTTTATTAAAGAAAATTTTTGCATTTTTTCATTTATCCCTAACTTAATAATAATAAATTGCACTAAATAATAAAATTTTTTCTTTTTCTTCTGAATGCATTTTTGTTTTAGTCCAATAAAATGAAAGTATTTTATCTCTTATTTTTATACTTTTAATCTAGTCCTTGTAATTCTATTTATTAATTAATCTAAGTAATAATAATAATAAGAAGAGATGATTAAATTTGATTTAATCATCATGTGAATTTTTGTCCATATAATTATATTATATTTAGTCTTTTTTATATTATTTTATTGTTTGCATTTTATTTATTTATTCATGTTACTTATTTATTCATTATTGATGTAATTTTATTTTTTACGTTTGATCTTCTCTTATTTCATAGTTATTAAATTATATTGTTAAATTAATTTTATTAAATAAATAAATAAATAATAAGATATTTACATCAATTTATAACACTAATGTATAGTTATTTTATCATGATGTACTATAAATTAATAAAGTTTATGAGTACCTAAATTACTTAAGTTTTATGAATTTAAAAAGTTATAATATTTAACTTTAATCAATTAAATAAGTATTTATAATTATCAAAATATAGTGATTTAGATTTTTTTCTTTAATTATCAAATTATTTGCTAATTCATTAAATTAAACTAATATTTACTTTAATGCAACAATTTATAGTTGCATAGCATATCTATATTTATGTGTTTTAAATTATTAAGACCTATACCAATGTTATTTTAGCTCTCATCCAATGCAAACTTATCAAATAATATTTTAATTTTTTTAATTTAATAATTATCTTTACTAATCAATTTACATATATTTATTTATTTTTATTATTTTATTTTTTTCTTTAAATATTATCCTCTCATTAAATATAATTAATCTTATATTTAAATACTTAAAAATTAAATAACTAGATATTTTATTATTTAAATTTATTTTTTTACTTTGGTCTCGTAGTACGATATGTGATTTACATCTTTGATTGTTAATTAAATCAAAAAGAATTTAGGTGTATTTTACACTATCTTAAATTCTTTCTAATATAAATCTTAAATTTAAGTATAATTTCAAATATTTCCCTTGCAAACTAAAAATTATTTTTTAAAAAATTATTTTTAATGATTTTTAATATAGTTGTGTAATCTCATTTCATTTGTTGTATTATTGATGATAGGATACATGTATACTTGTGTAATCTTATATCATAAATATTAAAATTTTATGAAAATAATTTTAATCTTAAAATAATTTTTTTTTACTAAAATTTAAATTAATCAACAAACTTAATATTTTAGATAGGACTATGTCACTCTAAATTTCTCATTGTACCCAAATTCTTGGCTGCCTTAAGGATACGTAGAAATGACAACTAAACTCATTAAATTAAAATCATTTTTAAAATAATATGTTCTTTTTTAATAGCTATTAATATTTTAGTAAACAATTTTTTCTCTTTACGGTAAAAATAGTAAAATTCTTGTTTAAAAATTAAATAAATATTTTTAAGATTATAATAAATTTACATAATTAATTTAAAGTAACCGTTATTTAAATAGACTTATAGGATATTAATACCTTTTTTATGCGTGAATGACTCTTAAACTTATTTTTGACTTAAAAAATTACATTTTAATAGTATTTCTAAATTTTTTCTTTAATATTTTGCGGCAACTCTTTTGATTTTTAGAAGAAAAAAAATTTATAATATTCACTAGTTGATTGCGACACATTTTAGTGGATCAAATTAATAATAACAAATAAAAACATATTTAAACTTTAAAAAATTAATCCAAAACTACAATATATATATATATATATATATATGAATAAATTTTTATCCTTAAAAAATGTTGATAACATACTCTTTTTACATATTTGAGTTTAAATTTGGATTTTTTTTATTTATTTAGATTATTTTTTTAAATAGAATCATTTTGTTTTTCTTTTTGGTAAAATAAGATTAAAAAAATACAAATTTTTGGGTTGGGAAGAAGGGATAAAATTGTTATTCACAAATAACATACTCTTTTTATCCTAAAAAAAAAAATATTAATATCATACTCTTTTTAACACACTTAGTTATCAATTGAAATTTGTTAAAAACTATAAAAATATGAAAGAAATTAAATTATAAATAAAAATATTTAATTTTTAAATAATTAAGAGTTTATGTTTGTGCTAGAATTTGATAAAAGATTTTATTAATTTCAATCTTTAGAGTTAAAGATAAATAGCTAATAATAATATAACTTTATTAAAAAAGAAATATTTATTATATTTTTATAACTTTAATAATAATTATATAATTTTTTTTATAAAAATTTTTTATTTATAAATACTTAAATTCAGCCGTATTAACAAAACCTTCAGTAAAATAAGATTTGACAACCATGCATGACAGCTTCACATTTTGTCCATAATCACATAATGCCATTCCCCATAAATGAGGTTCCGCTGAACAAAGGATGAAACGAAGGCGTCAACCTTCTACAGAAAAGCGTATCTCTTTTTCAGGAAAGTTGTACCAAAATGTATATAGCCTATCAGCAACAGAGAAGCATGCACTTCTTTTCGAAATAGCTCGTAAAAGAATAAAAGCACTGAGATTTACTACAGATCCTCACTTCCACTATGTTAAAATTGAGTTTTGTTTGAACCACGCATTAAACTTCGATAAAGAAATGGCCCAAACATGTAAACAATCAAGCCAATGAGCTTTCTGCTCAATAATATTTCCTTGCTCCTTCATCTGTGACATTCTTTCTTCCCAAATACTTTTTAAGCTTACGAACTTATTACTTTTTTCGTCAATATTCATTTTAGTGCAGGAATAGTGTATTAAAAAATATATAAAATAACGCATTGCTAGATGAGGAAAAGTTTATCCATAAATTAAAGTTGACATGTTATCTTGCAATATCAGCACAAAGACCGAGGTAAAAAACTCTTGAATAGCTTCTCTTTTGGTCCAATTTAATGTGCAAAGTCTAATGCTTTGTTTCGTTTGGAAATAAAGAAATATAAAAAAAAACGCAAATTTATTTCCAAGCAAAAAATTAAACATTTCTTCTGTCCACTTTCTGTTCAATTCATTTTTTTTTCACTTTTTTTTTAATCCATCTTACTAAGGAATCTTGTGGAATGAAAATTTCACTGTATCAAGTCCAGCAATAATCCTAACTATTTATTGTATATTTATTATTTTTAAGTAAAAAATTAGTTATTTCAATGGTCAGGATTTACTAATCAAAGGATAAATGAGATCATGTGACGAATCACATCGTTAACAATTCCTTCCATTTTTGGATTTAAAGAAAAATGGTTTCTGTTATCGTTCCAGTGTTTGCTTTGGGAATAAAGAAATAAGAGGGACAGAATGAATGAAAAAAGAATGTGATGAAGACTATTTGATTGGGAATAGAAAGAAGAGAAGAAGGGTGTGACTCCCCAAAAAAAACTTCTCCCCCAACAGTGAGAAAAAATAGTTGTCTGTTTAAAGATTGAGCTATATAACTCAGCTATAATCAAACTAGTGAATCATGAACATGTAACTTTTGTCATCGATGTGCATACATTTGTTGAGAAACCTACTAATACTACATTTACATAAATAGCTGGTAAAAATGGCCTTTAATTAAAGATGGTCTTAAGTTATGAAATAATTTTTTAATACAAGTAGTCCACAGGGGCGAAAGCATTTATAATCAAATGTATTGTGTTAAGAGATAACGTAAAGAACAAATAAATGATCACTATGCAAAAACGTATAAGCTTAACAATATGATGACATGATTAAGCAAGCTAATCTTTGGATAAAGCCTATACACTAGCATAGGCCCTTTAGTCGCCCATACTTGTAAATGGCCTATGTCCACCAGGACAAAGTTCATTCTCTTTGAATCCAAACACACAAGAAAAATCTCCCAAAACAAGATTGCTTGCTAGGCAAAATTTTATGTAATAAGAAAAGGCACCTCTCTTGAATTCTATATGCATTCCATTTGTGTTACAATTATGTCATATATATATATATATATATATATATATATGCATGTGAGCTTGTTTGAATTCTGTTACATTTCAATTTATGTCATTGTTTTGTTATAATTCTATTTGATGTTCTCGAGTGTGGTTTTGAACTTGGGCTTCTATATTTTGGTTGTTGAGGTGAATTGCAATAACCAACAATAATCAGCAAGAATAGCCAGCCATTCAGGAGCCAACACAAAGTGGCCAAGTGCAACCCTTTGCTAAAGTCCACAATCAAGTGTTGAAAGTGTCAGCAAGTCAAAGACCACAAAGGAAATAGAAAGGATGCCACCGAATTTACCTCCAATACTAGATAGACCCAAATATAATTGCCAACGGTAGGATCAATGCATCCAGGTAAATACAACCAAGTTATGAATTCCATCCACGTGATTGGAAGATCAAATGGTGGATGACATTTGAGGGGGACTATTACTTTTGAATTTAAAGAAAATTCAAATCATACCTTAGGCCAAAGTGAATATGTTGCTTTCTAAAGTTGCTAACGTAGGATATGCGGGGTTTTTATTTTATTTTATTTTCATAGCTAGAATGAGATCAGTTAATTATATAAACTCTACTCATGTTGAACTTAATTCTGGGGTCATTCGGTAACTCATATTTGCCAAAAATAATTATGAAATTTTCCCGGCTGAAAATGTTGGTAACTGTGGTAGTTAGTGATCCCATGCCATCTCACCAGAGAGATCGGCACAAAACAAAGTACTCCAAAATATTTGTATTAAGAACTATATAAAGGAAAAAAAAAAAAAAACAAGAACAGGGGCAATACAATGTTAAGCTTAGGACAAGTTACATTACTTAGAAGAATGTTTACCATACTCTTCAACTCTATGAAGGGCATCCATGAGAACATCGGTTGTCCAATCCTTTACATCCTCCTGTAGACAACATGTGAGGAAACTTTAGCCACGAAATCTAAATGCTTCCCTCAGGCAAAACTCCTATAATTTAAGTGTTAAATCTTAAATGGCATATAACTTAGCTTGATCATGCGAACTATTTAGGACTCAAATCACAGAGAACATCACAACACGGGTGCCTATAAGGAACATACCAGTTAATAAAGCAAGAGTGTGGTTGTTTTAACCTCCCACACTCTCACTTCTAATCAAAAGTGAGAAGAGTTAATCTTGACCATCATTTTTATGATTATATAGTCGAGATAAATTTCACTCGTGATAGCATGTTTTCACCTGATACAATTCCTACATATACATAGATCAAAGCACATAGATAGTATGTATTACCATATGCAAAGGTTCTCCTGTTCTTATTCTGGAATTGGGGCGGGAAAACTTAGACTCAAATGGAGTCCTGGGCCTGATTTCTCGAAACTTCTCCCACTCCTCTTTGGTGAGCATTCTCACGGTGCCTTGACCAGCAGGAGCATTCTTTATCTTACGCTCTAGCAATTCCTGGGATCTCGATTCATCTAACTGCGTCCATTACATTAGTCATACTCATTATTAGTTCACTTCGTAATATCATCAAACACGTAATGTGCAACCCGGTACAACATTGTTCATGATCAAAATCTATTTATCAAAAAATATAAAATCTAACGTAATTCAATACATTGAATTTTAATTAAAAAAAACATTATTTATTAATTTCTTATTATATGAAATGTGATAGAGGTTTAAAAAAACAGTAATTATGATGATGATAAAAATTGAAAAATGGAGTTGAGGGGGTACCATCATGAGGAGCTTGGCGAAGATAGCGACTCCAACGGCAACGGCAATCATGGGCATGGTGGCGGTGTCGAGGTAGGATAAGGATTCGGGAACTGGAACGATGAACTGATCCTTACTCTTGGACCTCCTCGTCTTCCTCTTCTTCTCCAATTCCAATGCCTTTCTCTTCAATGTTTCTGTCGGGGCATTGCCACAAAGACTATGCAGCAATCTACGCCTCACTGCGTTCATTGTTTTTTCATCAAATCAAACCCAAGTGTTCCATTCTTCTTTCTTTCCTTACTCTAAAACATGTTCCCTTCTGATGTGTTATAATGGCCAAATGAAAGGACAATATCACCCTCCATTCTTCCTTCTAATAACATTCAGGTTACATTAAAGAGACAGAAACAAATTGTTTGTTATTTATTTTTAAAAATAGTTTTTGCTTTTTAAAAGTAAAATAAAATAAAATTAATTTGCTAATTTAATTTTTGACCATGTTTAATTTCTATTTTAAAAATAATTTAAAAAACAAATAAAAATAAACAAGTTTTAATAATAATAAAATAGTTTATTTTCATCCAACTATTTAATTAGTATTATTATTTGTTTTCTTTTCAATGTTATGTTATTTTAACATTACAAAATAAGCTTTTTAAAGGTAACAATGTTAAGCTTTAGTAAATAGAGTGATAAAAATGTTAAAATTTTAAGCTTTTAACAACTAAATTCAATTATTCTAGGGGATTAAAGTAACAACTAAATTTTTTTATGGATGAAAATAAGTTTTATTGAAAACTAACAAGCTTAAAGTCACAATAATTTTATTTTCATGTTCACTTTTAATACTGTTTTTATAACATTTCTTTTTCAGATAAAAAAAACTTGAAAAAACACGTATTTCAATACACATTTGTCATTACTTTTAATTAAATATTATGAAAATGGAGTAAAAATATTGATGTATATATAACAACACTAAGATGGTAACGAATTAATTGGTTCAATAAATATATAAAAGAGCATATGTGATGGTAGGTTTTTTCTTGCAATACACTAAATTTATTTATAGTATAAATATTTATAGGTATGAGTTTTAGAAAGTTCGTTGATATGTTAACTTCTCATGCAATGACTTTCTTCACACTTTTATTTTTTATTTTCCTTTTTCAATAATAATTTAATTTTTTATTGAAAATAATTATTCATAGCGAAATTTTGATACAATTCATACTGAGTAAAATATATCATATGTCTAAACGTTTCTCTCTTATCTTTATTATCTTATTTTACTTCTCCTTTATTATCCATATTTCTCTGCTGCATTTCTTCTCATACTTTCAGGATTATTTTATTTAATTTAGTTTACTGTTAGTTTCTTATGTGTTGTTTTTGCTCATATTTCATTGATCCACCTACTTCTTTTGCATATTTGCAGTTTTTTCAAGTATTGATTTCGTAGCATGCCTTTGTGAACGGAAGGAGAAAAGTATTCTGACTTCATCCATTCTCCTAAAACTATCATAATATCTAGAAAATATAATCATATAATTTTGAAATGTTGAGCTGATATTGGATTAATGGATTCTCAGCTTTGTTTTTTAATGCTAGCATTGTTTGGTTTATTGGGTCCAGAATATGAAAAATTAAGACAAAATAAAGGCAAAGCCCAATGACAGGCCCATATTTGCAGTGCCTGAAAGTCCAGCCTATCTAGAACCCAGCTCAATTTATTGTTGAACCTTATAGTATAGTTTGGTGAGAGCTACAAGTTATATGCAAGATGATCAGAGTTTGAATTTTGAGTCTTGCAAATTCTCATATCCCCTTCCTCTCTTCCAATCCCCCTCGCAGATGTCCCAACAAAAACAAAATTGTTGCAACGTTATATTTCTTTTTTGTTTTGGTCAAATTGCAATGTTGTATACTATATTATCACAACACTTAAATGGTTGATATTGGATTCTACCATTTTTATTCTGCAATTTTGTTTATGCTATCATTGTTTGTTTTTGGGTCCAGAAAGTGAAAATTCATGAAAAAAAGTAGTAAAGACATTGCCCCTTTCGACCAAAAACAGTTATCTTTTTTCCAATGTTGTATACAATATATTCACAAGACTTTTGAATGGGCCTCAAATTAAAAGTTTGATACATAGTAAAGACATTGCCCCTTTTGACCACATATATATTGTTCTTAGAATTATTTCATCACAGATATGGATATTGTAAAAATTAAATCATATTGAATTTTAATACTCTTATAGTGAAAGCCTAATTTCCACAAAATATGACTAAATTTATACCAATATCTTAGTACAAAGTTGTATACAAAACTATCACCAATTATATTCACAAATTAGAAGGTGGAGTGTTAGACACTGTTCTCAAGGATTATTTTTGCCACAGATGAGGATTGTGAAATTTTCCCAATATCTAATGTGCTCGTATCAGTATCCCATGAAACAACTAATGAATTTAACTCTGTTAATTCAAAAATTTGATCTAGAAAAGAATACAGGAGAAGAATACGTCTGAGAAAAAGAGAGAAGGAGAGGAGCACAGAATCAACAGTGTATTGAGATTTAAATTATCACCGTTTATAGATAAGGTTAACCTAGGGAGCTTTACAAAAATTAATTTTGGATATGTTTAGATGCACTGTTTAGGTAAACATTTATTCGATATTTTTTTACACGAAAATTTATATCATAAAACTAATTGTAAACTTTATTAAAATAAATTAAAAATTTTATTTTAATATGTTTTGCTAAATATTTTATTAAAATAAAAAATCAATAAATTTATAACCTATTCTCATAGACTGCTAATAAACTTTTTAAAATACTCCTTTTCTAATTTTATATATTTTAGTCAAGTTAATTAAAGACAGTCAACTTACATAAACTTTTGAATAAGTTTATGGGACTTACTTAATTAAGGAAAAAATAAAAACACAAAAATAAATCTTTTTTTTTGTATAAATTAAAATAAACTTATATAGTTCAACTTTTCTTAAAAGTTCTCTTGTGCTACTTATTTGTAAATACTTATAAACTTGTCACGATTGAAATTTGTTTATAAGTTAAAAATAATTCACATATTTTTTTTTCTTTTCAGAAGTCGTTCATGTACTAGCCAGGGCAGGCAGAAGAAGGTTCTTGAAATTTGAGAGAGACCAAGGGAGAAAGATCAGCAAAATGATAAATTTCTGCCAAAAAAATAACGCAAGTAGAGACCACCAATCCAACTTCTGGTGCCCACAAAACCATTCTCTATGAACCTCTTTTGTAAGTATCCAGGGAACGTTGCTTATAAGGTCCTAAAGAATTCTGCTAACCTCTTTGAAAAGCAATATTTTGAAATGCACCCAACATTGATTGCACAACTCAAATGGCTAACCATACCATTCCCATTAAAGATCTTGTCACTTATTCGCATCTGAATGTGCCACAGTTGATGAAATATTGCAAGATCTCCGTGACCAGTATGAGTGGGATGCTAGTGCGGTGAATGTAGCAGATGGGTCAACCACATCACTTAAAGGGAATCAGCACTTTGTTCTGAATATCGTAGCTGTAAATTAAAGTGGAATTGATCCGCACCTCAAAAGCACGAGGGACAGGCAGAAAAGATGTAAAACTGTTACACCAATGTGTCACAAATGGGGGAAAGAATCCACTACATATATTCATCATGCATCAGCTTAAAAGGTTATCCATCTAACTTGCCTCTAGTAACTAGTCACCAATTTTTTGATCAAACGCTACCAAAGGAATTTAAGCTTAGGGGTCCACAACTTTCTTTCTACACAGTTGGTAACAAATATGCTATAAGAAAAATAAATTTTAGTATAAAATTTAAAGCTTAATTAGAAAAAAAAAGTCTATCATATTAAATTTAAATATCAACGAAATATCAGGACCATTAATGTGCCCTTCAGAATTCTCATGTGGACGAGTGGATGAGGCTGAGCCTAACCTAGGTCCTGTGAACATGGTTATTTTGACGAATATTAAGAATCCAACAAGCTTGGTGTGGAGAAATGAGTAATTAATATTGAACGTGTCCCTGTCCCAAGAGTCTTGAATGACTCGGGGGGTTAGGAGTTTGGACCAAAACCAACTTAGCAATGCACACGTTGAAAGAGGACTCGTGACCCTTAAAAATAAATAAATCATCCATGCCCAACTGCGATGAGGGCACAAAGCTTTAACAGCATACTTAAAAGGAACCTTAGACAAACTATCCCCCATTCCATTATCTACCATAAAGAAAGAGTCTCCACATATGCCTCTATGGAAAATTAAAACTTCACTTTGTGCACTGTTTACATTAACTTTATACATGTATACAGGATAGAATATTTTTATATTAATATAAATTTAAAAATTATTACATTCAATTTAAAATTTTTATTTAACTTATATTTAATTGATTATAATTTATTAATATATAAGTTAAATAAAAAATTTAAATAAAATTTTTTAAAGTTAAACTAGTGTGACAAAATTCTTTTTCATATACATATATAACAACTTATAAAAATAAAAATAAAATTTAAATAAATTAAAAATAATATATATATATATATCTTAATTTTATAAATTAAAAATAATTTAATTAATTTTATCTTTATATTTTTATCTTGTTTTATAAATTTTATTAAGGATTTTATTTAAATTAACTTTAATATTGTAGTCTCTAAAAGTGTAGATTAGTCTTTTGATCAAGAGAAAATTAACTAGTCAAATTTTTATTAATTTTTTTAATGTGATATACAATAAAACATATTTAAAATAAAATTTATTAAAAAATATATAATTATTAAATTTAATACATATGAAAAGATCAACACAAATTCATTGTTATTGTGACCCCAGTTATTTTTCTTGGGTGCATACCAGAGTATTTTTTATGCTCTAAGGTTGTAACTTGGTATGTAATATTCAAATGACCATTAACTCATTCTTAATTACTTTAATATATAAATTATAACTAGCCTTTTATGTAAGTGGAAGATCATCCAAATTTATAGAATAGAGAGCCGCGGTCAGGTTCTTGTAAAATGGTGGCAACTTGCTGCAAAAGGTGACGATTTTTTTTTAGAACTCTTTCTTTTGATTCCAAGAGAGTGGCGAGTAGTGTCTGTGGATTCGGGCATTTCAATCGCTGTTACTTTTCTCCTTTTATTATTTTGATTGGCGTGAAGAGAAATTTTGTACGGCACAGTGTTTGAGACTTTTTTTTATGTGATCCCTGTGCCTAGTATGGTGGTCTTTTTTCTTTATTCTTTATATGTGCGTGCATGTCTTTTTTTCCTATTATTTTTAACTTTTACTTTTATCTTAAACTCTTGGACAATAACAATATCATGGATCTTATAGATTTCTCTTTGCTTTTTTGTGTCATGTACTGTGATATGTCTGTAATTTAGCGGAGCGTTTTGCATTAAATGAACGTGGTTCTGAAGCCAAGCTACAATAATAGTAGGCCATAAAATTTTTTATCACACATGGTGGGACTCCTGAAATTCTGTCAGTCTCTGGTTTTCAAGCGTTGGATTCTGACGTGTCAGTTTCTACTTAGCACATGCTTCCCTTAATGCATAACAACACATGTACCATTACCCGCCTTGTATTGGGTTGGACACTGTCTACTTCTAATGCAGCACTTTCCAAACACCTAATTGAAAGCATCAAAGCATTTAATGAATTCTACCTCCATTATGGAGGTAAGGCATCATTCCAATTACCAAGGGTCCCACACAAAAAACATTTGTTAAATACTCCATTAAATAAGGTATATTTTAAACTGTGTCTTATGTCAATTTATGAAATAAAATATATACATTTAATATGAAGAAAGAAAATTCATTTGTGTAATATTACATCGGATAAAAATTTATATATATTTAATACGATTAATGCATTTATTATCTTTGTATTAAGATATAAAAGAGAAAGTGAAGCATATGAACAAGTGGTGTGGAGAATTTATAGTTAAGTGAATAGTGTGTGTTTTACTCCTTTGCTGAAATGTGGATTTTATTTAAAAAAAAACATGAAAGGGGTGGTAGACTGAAGAAAAATAATCAAAAGGCAAATGAACAGGAAAGCAGGAAAAAAGATAGGGGGAAGAGGATATATGACATTTCAATCATTCCATCCGAATTGAGAACAGAAGTACAGCTTAAACCATGCATACTTTTCTTTTCTTTTTAGCGACAGACAAGTCATCAGAGAAGATTGTGTATTGGGAAAAGATAAAAGATAAAGTTACAAAATACTGACAAAGAGGACTCTCTCTCTCTCTCTCCATTTCTGGTTTATCGATAAACATGTGGGTCACTGAACCCATGTTTAGCCAGCACTTTAATAGGAATACCATCAGTCATAAATGTTTTTTACAATTTTTTTTAATGTAAAACTGTAAAAACATCTAAAAATATTAATTTTAAATTATTTTTAATGTATATCTAAAATATATATATAAAATAATTAATATTTTTTTATTAAAAATGATATATTAAAATTACAATAAAATATTTATAATATTTTTCTATAATCTTTTTTTTACATTTAATCACTTAGACCATTAGTGTCTTTATAAGTATTTGTAGTATTATTTTTTAATTAAAATCTTATTTTAATAATATAAATAATACTAAATATCAATTTTTATTAAAATAAATTTCTAATTTTAATTTATAAACAATATTTAAAGTATAATGTATAAGTTTTTTAAATAAAAATGAGTCATAAGTAATCCTAATATTGCTTAATTAAGCTAAGTAAAAAACAATCACCTAACATAGAAAAAGATAAAATAATAGAAAATTTTTATTTAATTAATATTTATATTCATTCTAAATATCTTAATATCTGATATATCTTAATTTAATTTACACTCATCAAAAATATGAAACGGATCATAGGTAATTTAATATTTTGAATAAGTTAAATAATAAATAATAAATTTATAACACTGAAAAAAATATAAAATAACATAAATATTTTAGTTTAATTAATACTCGTGCCGCCTCTAAATATCTTAACAAAAACATATTATTTTAATCAAGACCTATAAGAGAAATATAAAATAAATTATAAATAGAAGTGTAAATAAATTAAGTTACTATTAAACTATTTTAGTTTAATTTATTAAATTTTTGGTTAGATTTATTTATTTAATTAAAATTTAAAGTTAGACTTAATTATTTAAAAGTTAAATTTAAATTTTATAAATTCAATATTAATAACCTATGCACGCATGTGCACACAAATATACATATTTAAATAATTGTTTTTATTTTTAATAATTATTAAAATTTATATTTTTTTATTATAATCATTATATGTGTATTATTTATTTAATTTTAATTTTTAAAGCAATTTAAACTTTAAATTTAGGTTTTTAAATAACTAAGTTAAGTTATTTTTTTAACATGTGAAACTTATACTTTAAATAATTAATTTGACTTAACTTATTTACACCCTAATTATAAATAATTTTAATATTCTTTAATAAAATAAGTAAGAAATAAAGATTAAAAAGATATTATAACAGAAATATCTTAATTTACTTAAGACTTATTCTCACTCATAATATGTTTAAAAAAATATCTTAAATTTAGTCAACACTGAAGAAAGAAAAATAAAAATGGCTCAAAAGTAATCTCAGCAGTATTTAGTAAACTAAGTAAAAAGCAATTATCTTTAAAAAAAATAATAACAAATATATTAATACTTGTGCTTATTCTAAATGGGTACAGGATATGTTTTTCATCTTATATAACACACATATAATTTTAGTCAATAATTTATACAACTTCAGTTTAACTTGTTAATAACTTGATGTTATATATTAATGATTTATTATCATAAATTCAAATAAATTAACAAAATATTGAAGTTTCCAAAACTATTCAATCCAAATCAAAATATTACTATGTAAATTAAAATATTATGAGACAGTAAAAGTGTGAAATTGCAAACCAAATTTTATTTTTTATAAACTTCTCATTTTAATTTTATAAAAAACATTTTAAAAAATATTTTAAACCTAACTTATTTCTAAAAATTAGTTCTGATGCATAAAATTTATAAGATTAAAATATTTATACAAATAACTTTATAAAACAACGTATATGATCTATATACAATCTAACATTCAAATGAAATAGACTCGAATCATGTTAAATCAAATTAAATTGTTAATAAATTTAGACTTAATTTATCCTAAAAAAATTAGTTTATAAAAATAAAAATAAAAATAAAAATTATCCTACCTTTGTAAGGAATATTGTTACTCTGGTACATAACAACGTGAAACATCTTCACAGCAAATTTGGGATGCGGATGAAAATTATTTACAACACACTACAAAGGTGCCTTGTGACTGAAATTTGGGTGGTATTGGCATTCACGAGTATTGCTCTGAACTGCAGAAACAGAAAATTTTCACTGTATACAAGGCAGCATTTGATTGGTGTTAATAAAGCAACTTTCACGTGGGACTTGCGAAACCAACGTTACATGGCAGAGCTTGTAAAATTGATTATCAATGTCCAAACAATAAAATTTATAATTTAAAATATTTTAAGCTATTTGTGTGGTGTTTGTTCATTTATTGTTTAATTTAATTAAAATTAAAATAATATAAAATGTCAAAAAATTTGATATCACAAAGACTGAAATACTAGAAGTGAAAAAAATACTATATCTTAAATACATAAGTATATTAATATAATTTTCACTCTATTTTTTAGTAACAAACTCATTTTATTGATATTAAAAGTTATACTTTGACATATCGTGTTTATGCTGTATCATATGAATGAGATAGGAGAATAAAGCTTAACATTATTGGGAAGGAGGTTGAAACAATACACAGATACTTTTTTAGGAGAATGGGGACAAAAACTGCTGAAATAAAAGGGTAAAAAAAAAATAGAAGCAAAGGAAGCATCCCCTAATGGTGCAGTGGTAGAAGAAACAAAATGATGCCTATTGGTTATTGGACATTGGAAACTTTATCTATCGTTGCCCGTGCTATGATGGCTTATTCAGAGTCGTCTTCGGTATGCAGCAACAAATAAGGACTTATCTCGGTCTCGATTTCACTTTTACTCTGTTTGCTTTCACTTTACGAGGATATAAGGTCCGTCCCAACTTTATAGACTTTTCCTCCCCATTCAAACAATATAATGAAAGCAAACAAAAGAACCCACTCATCACATTCATATCCGTTTCCGGAATTGATGCCTTCTTATGGCCATATGACCTATGACCTATTCTGCTCTGTGCCTTTTCTATTCACACTACACACTTCACACCCACCACCATCGCCCATCACAACAACTTTCCCAATAGCGCGATTCCTCTACCCTTTCCCTCTCAGCGATCCATTCACTCACAGGTTTACTGAGTGGGGGACACGCACCTCTTGCTTCCTTTTTTGTTTTTCCCTTCATTTCAAGTACTTATCATGAGAAAAGACAAACAATTTTTTACAAAATATTGTACCCCACTTTTTTTTTCTCTCTCTATAAAAACTCCTCGAGCATTTAATAAAAATATCAGTATTAATTAAAGCATTATGTCAATAAAACCCCCTTCCCATTCATTCCAATAAAATCGAATAGTTATTATTCTCACCAATCGATGCCAGATAATAAATAGTAAAAACTGATTAAAGTAACAAATACGACCAAATTATTAAAACATGCAAAAAGAAATATGAATCAGATTATAGGTAAAAAAAAAAAAAACAATTGTATCAACAAAAGAATTCTACATTCTAATTTTCTTTTCCTTACAGTGTCCTTCGGACCAGAAAAAGGAAAAAAAAACTGTATCTATTTTGGGGATGGTGTAAAATGAAATACAAAAGCTAAATTCCTAAGAGAAATTAACATGAACACTGGCATTGATGCCAGAGTGACAAAGAGGGCAATCCTGAACGGTGGACCCGCACATTGTACATAGACACAGATGCCTGCATGGCAACAACAGCACTATTGATTCTCTTACCCCACACTCACTGCACATCCTTCTTCCCACCACCGCATCGTTTCCCTTTCCACACACCTCTTCCTCACAGTGGTTGTTGCTCTCGCAACTCGATTCGGCGTCGTCCGCAGTGGCGGTGTTGTGGGGGTGGTCCTCGCTAACATGGGCAAGCACTTGTTCCAAGTTGCTGCGTAAGGAATTGGCCGTGGCCTCGTTGGTCTGTGCCAACTCCCTCCAAATCTGATTCTCCACGCAGAGACTCTTCACTCTTTCTTGAAGCACCCAATTCAGCTTCCCCATTCTCTGAATATCTTCGTCCTTTTCCTTCAGTTTCTTCGCCACTGCCTCTTGGATTGCTGTTACTAACATTCTTGATTGCCTCATTCTTTGCTCCTCTAACTCCATCCTCACCTTCTCCGTCTGTTAAAATATTAAAAGAAGTTATTATTAAATCCAAAATTACAATTTTTATGTTGGTTCTTTTTTTTTATTCTGAGATTAAAAAAGGGGGGGATAGATAGGAAAATTACATGTTGTGCAATGATGCGATCTATTTCGGATTGTTGGTTCTGGAAATGGAAGAGAAGCTCTTGGTCGATAAACGATGGTTGAGGAGAGATTTTGTTCTTCTGTGGAACTGGGAGAGCGTTTGATTCGGCGATGGAGTCTCTGGAACGCTTTCTGGGGACAGGGATGTGGTAGGTGAGGCCACTATCAGCTTTGTTGATGGAGTTTGGATCGCAGAGGGTGGATTGGTGAAAGGGTAAGAAGGATTCAGGCATTGTTGAAGGAACAGCAGGCATGGAACCATTGTAGAAGCTGTGATTGGTGGGTTTGATCATTTCTCTGGAAAAAGAAGGGGGAATCGATGTTAGAAATGTGAGAATGAAATGAAAGGAAAAGGGAGGGTTTGGTTTTGTTTTGTTTTGTTGTTACCTGTTGGTTAGTAACTGAGAAGGGAAGAGATTGATGTGCGGTGCCTCAACTGCCATGATGAGAGTTGGTTGGTTACTAGTTTCTACCCTTTGCAAGTGAGTTTGTTGGGTCCTCGCGGTTTTCTGTGTTTTCTTTTCTTGCGTTTGATGCAAATGCCAAGGGTTGAATGCTGGAGAAAAGGAATTCAGGGAGAGAATTAAAAGGGCATGCAATTGAGGTGGCGACTACTAGGGAGCCACAATGAACGAGTCCCGTTTATTTAAGGCTTTGGCTCTTGTGCTATTCTTAGAGAGAGAAAGTCAAAAGCGGTTTTTCTAGGCAGAGAAAAATCTAAGCGTTTATTTTATTAGAAGAAAACAACTGAATTATCATTAAATTAAATTCCCTTTCACTTTTTCATTTATTGCATAGACATGGTAATACATGTGGGAATCCTTTTTAACCTTTTCTTCCTTCACTCGTTTGGGAATTTGGGGCTTCACCCTTTATTTTTAAAATAAACAATTTAGGATAATGTTCTCGCGTCACTCTAAGGAGTCATGGCATGCACACAACACAATTATGTATCGTGGAATCGTATTATACAACTACTTTACGAAACCATATATCTTGACTTTTTGTGGCACCAAAAACTTATATCAAAGAAAAAAAAAATGAATTTAATTGTGAGTGACACATGATGAGAGATCTTTTCCTTGGGCTCAGGTAATTTGGGGTCTTGATTGAAGAGGTGCGGTTTGAGTGAGAGGTTTTTAATTAGTGGTGTGAATGTGGTGATGGTGATTCGACGAATGACGCGCGGCCTCTGCAGCACGACGTGGCGATGTGGAAAACTGCCACGTGGGGCCATGAACGTGAGTGGGGTCACGGATGTTGCACGTGAGAGGTGCGTGAATTCGAGTGGGGACAACAAAGCCTGATCCCTGAGCCACGTAGAGGTGGGACCCACTTCTGTTCCGGAGCGGTTTCCTCGCTGTGCTGCCTTGGTCCATTCTTAAACTGTTATGTCCCTGTACGGACAAATTGTTGGGGGTGAGCGATCCGGTGCGGTGCACGTCCCCTCCTTCTTCATGGGCATGCTGTCGGTCAACAATCGATAACTTCGCCCGTTTCTTACTCTGTCACTTCATCCAATGGGGACAGCTCCACAATTTCTCTTTAAATAATTAAAATTAATTTTGCAGTTCATTGCGCACATTAGCTACCAGTAAGCAAAAGTTAAGAATTTCAATGGACCACAGTGCATCGGTCAACAATTATTTCATCTGCACAGCCCAATCACAGATGTGGATTCCATGTCTTAAATTATTACTATGTTTTTTTGTCTAGAAAATTATTACCATTTGATTAACTTATATAATAAATATTCTTGTAATTTTATTAAAATTTCAAACTTGTTTATAGTTTAACGTTTTTTGTATTTTAAAACATTTATATTAGACGTTACTGATATATAAATACGAAAAAAATATTTAAACAACTTAAGCGATTTCAATCATTTTTATATTTAAAAAGAGAATATTTACAGGATAAATTTATTAGGAATATTTATATCATGAATTTATCTAAATTTTTACGCAACCTGAAATTCTAATTGAAATATTTTATCATATTCAAATTTAATCTAATCCACCACCCATATAATTTTAATCGTTAGAATTACGCACTTTAGATAATTTGATACGAATAATAGATGTTTATATTATTTAAAATATAATGGTAAATCATAATAAGCGATTTGAGGTCTGATTAATTAATTAATACAGTTAATTTTTCTTTTGAAATCTGAGACAAACCATGTGCAGGGTATAATATGATGTCTAAAATATGTAAATTCGGTTTGATTAGATATATATAGGAGCTCTTAAGTTTATGTGACGGGTCAACAAAGTCATATCCCCTTGCTTTTGTATTCCACACGTGAATAACAAATTTGGTAATCAACCAGTTTAACTTTAACTTGCCAAAATAATTGAGAATCTCAATCTATTATATAAAATCAGGTATATAGCATAGATAGATATACATTAATTTGGCGGGCACATGCTGATTAAGTTTGCACCCGTGTCTCTATGCAATTTTACCCTAAAATATTGTGAATTGTCAGCATAACATCTCGGTTATTCATACTTAATAAATACATTATATAAGTATTTAAAATTTTATGTTTAATTAAAGAATCTTACAAACTAATATCCTTAAATATTAAACTATATTATAATTATAAATGAAGTGCATTAATAATATTATTAGACACATTTTTTTTTTATTCTGGAATTGGTTAGCATTTACTTTAATTAAAATTACTTGGCTGCGCAACTTTTACTTAATTAGTCCATGGGGGTTTGTTTATTTATTACTTTTATATTTTCAACTTTAGTACTTGAATCCAAAAAAGTTTGGCACTCATTAAACTCTAGTACATTCACTTCCTCTTTTCTTTTTGCTCAAGGAAACAAGTTTTATGATGTGCTACGATTTTGTCCAAGTGTACTTGATTGATAACAAATGTGATTGGCATTAACCTTCATGCAATGCACCAGAATCACTTTTATTGTAAATCAAAAGAAAGCGTAGAATAAGTTCACCTTATTAAGTCTGCAACTTAAAAAGATGTGGTTTTATGTACATACAACACCTCGCATCTTGGATCCTAATTGGTTCCACATTTTTCTTTATTAATACATCATTTACCTCTCTAAAAGCAGCTGATAATGAATTGAACATTTTCAATAACGGTGTGTATTAGGCCTTAAGGTTCTAGGTATTTTACAGCAAAAGCGTATATATGTAGGCTAATACACTATACATAAGCTATAGGTTGAAAAGCTTAAAATTATAGGAAAGGGTCTAAAAAGCTGTGGTCTAGTTACACTTCTAGATGGTTGATGAAAGTTGAATTCTCCATTTCTCTTAATGCTTAATCGTAGAAATAATGGTCTAAAACAAATGCCTAAAAGATGAAAATGAGTGAAGACTGATATTAGTTTCTAATTCAAAATGTTATTCTCGTAATGGAAACGGGTTGCATGTACAAGTAGAAAAAAAAATTGAAAATTGAAGCTAGGATTTTCAAATCAAACACCTAACATGCATTGTTCTAATCGGACCCCTTTCCGGACCAATCAATCAATGTTTTTATATTGTAAAATAATTAAATTATAAAACAAAATTTTAAGGGAGCTGAATGTCAAAAGTACTTAGTATTCGCCTATAATACACTGAATCAACATTAAAGAAACCAGAGAGGTAGACTTCTCATTCTCAAATATGTGATGATTCATGGTTGTACATCATTTTATGGTCCAATTGCTAAGCTGGTCAAACGCAATAATTCATCACAAAAGCAAAGTTTTAGGCGATAATAGGTCACGTAGATTTTCACCTTCCGTTCATGCAGTCTCAATATTGGGCACCGTTTCCTTAAATGTACAATTGTCAACATTATACATATATATATACACACACGTACTTGATAACTTTGATTAAAGTATTATTAAATATTTTTTAACTTATTTACACTAATAAATTATATATCTAAAGTTATTAATACGAATTAATTAGAGTTGATGCGAATAAAATTGTTAATTTATTATAAAAACCTTATAAGAATGATTAAAAGAATATAGCATATTAATATTTGTATTAATAATATAGTATTGTATATGTTTATCTAAAAATATAAAAGAAAATTTAAAAATATCTATTTATATTATAAATTTTAATATCTAAATATAATGCTTTTAAAAAAATTATAAAAATTTAAAATTTAAAATTCACTAATAATGATTTCTAATGTAATACTGATAGAAAAACGAAAAATCATGAGGTTTGACAATTTTTTTAAAATATATTAAAAATTATAGAAAGTGAAAACTAAAATGGCAAAATTTTTTAAAAAAATAAAAAATTATTAAAATACGAAAAATAATGTTAATTACAATTTTTAAAAAAAATGATATTTTCATAATTTTTCTCAAAATATGATATTTAGATAAATTTTCAATTTTGATTTATGTAAAAAAAGCTATAATTATATATGCTTTACACAATTTGTAGTCTGCTTTTGTAGTCGTAGGTGCAACAAAAGTCTAAATATAATCCCTTCTTGTTCTTGTCTTTTCTGGTACAGAAAGGCACGTTGGAACTCGTTCTTAGAATGTGAGTACGGTTAACCTAGTTTTTCACGTAAGATATTTCATAGAGAAAGGTATGAAGGTTTGAATTGTCACTTTCACGGAATCAAACAAGGATTACCTCTCCCGTGTAATATCTGGCATCAAACCTTCAACTAATATGGAACCTACGTATCATATTCAGCTCTGAAAATTGATTTCATTTGATAACGAATATATTGAGAGGTAGGTTGAATAAAAAGGAACAGTTGCCCCACCTTGTCCCTAGCCATCTAACATTTCCATTTTTAATTTCCCTCACAAACACGCACAAATATATGAAAAGGAAAATAAAACTAGTGGCCAATAAAAAAGGGAACATCATCTTTCTCTTTCTCTCTTTTTCATCCCCTCTGTTAACCCCTAAACCTTGAAACCCAACAAAGCCATCTTAAACAAGTACCTCACTTCTTTAATAAAATCAAAAATCTTTTCTTTTTCATTTATAAAAATCAAGCATAATTATATTTTTTATGATTTTTATCCTCAATAATTATATATAACTTCCAAAATCAATTAAATATTTAAAACAAGTTCTCATAATTTAAGTCTTTCCCCCAATAATTATTCTTCTCCTTTAACATTAACGTCCAGCATAAAAATTCAAATCATAAACAAATATCATTCAATGCTAATAAAAAAATTAAGTCATTCTTAAGTGATTTACTTTTATGTATAATAAAATTAAGAGTATTAAATGGGATTGACTAATTTTTTTATCAAGCACAATTTAGTTAGTTTTTGTTTTTATTTGACATTGGAGGAGTATGTGCTTAGAAAAAAATACACAATTCATTACCACTAAAAAATAATAATTCATTAATAATTTAACATTAAATTAATTTATTGATATAATTTTTTAAAATTAATTCATTAAAAAATTATAAATTTATACTAACAATATATTATTAAAATTATCTTATAATTCTAAGTTGTAATTAATTATAATTTTTTATTAAAAATAAACTAATTCATAATTGAGACAAAATACATAAAAAAATTTAATAATTAATTTAAATAGTCTATTTATTTAAATTTAGATATTTATAATTATTTATTATCTATTAAAGTGTAAATCTTAAGAAAAAGATTCATGAAAGGAATAAATGATGGTCAAAATGTGTGTGTGCACGTATATGGTTATGGTTTATAGATA